TGTGTGTGTGTGTGTGTGTGTGTGTGTGTGTGTGTCTCCAACATAGTAAGGAAAGAGACAAGATGGCTTGCCCATTGTTCCCTTTTCCGAACCCTGGTTGACACTCCCTGAACAGCCTGCCTCAATTTCAGAGTGCCACCCCCAGGCTAACCCTTGCAGGCCCAGCACAAACCCACCCCCACCCCAGTGTTGTCTGCCCCAGCCCCCAGCTGTGGGAAACTCAGTATCTCTCTGAAGCCAGGCTCTGGGCTGTAGATGCTGTCATATATACAAACAAAGCCAAGCTGGTGTCTCCCCGACACCAGGGACCACATGCCCGCCCCCTGCAGGATAAAAAGAAGGACTGCTGCAAACACTTGGCAGGAAGGCACGGACTATTGTCTGTGGAGGGTGGCATTGACCTGGGGACCCTTTACTGACCCTCATCCCCAGGCAGTGGCACATACTAACTCACTCCTGGTGGAGCTTCCGGCTTCCTCACAAATGTTCTCCCCTCAACAGTCAGCAGCAGATCAGGGGAACCATTCCATCCAAACCCAGCTTAGTGAACAATGAGTTGTTGGGCTTACATGTAGGAGCATGGGTGGGGTTCTTTGCAAGAGCACAGGTGACCCCCAAACAGTGGCTACACTGAAAAGTCCCACCGCAGTATGAGTAATGAACTCCCCCAAACTGTGGAGATGGCATCCGCCTTTAGTTAATTTTCCTTCTATATACTCCACTTCCTGAGACCACATACAGTTGGGGCACAGTTACATATAGTTGGGTAGGAGTGCATGACAGAGTGGCTGGGACCTCCAGTGAAGATCGAGTGTCCTTCCTCACCCCTCCTGTGAGGGACTGTCAGCAGGCCTGATCTTGGGGGGAGGTCGCTTCTCCATAGATAGTCACAGGTACTCTGATTATGTTAGTAACGGCTGTTGGGATTGGCAGACTGTTCCTGGACTATATGACGGCCTGAGTTCATCCTCTCGGATGTAGCTGGAAAGATGCCCACCTGAATCCTCACCAGGAGGAGAGACCAGACCAGACCAGCACCAAAGGGTTCAGTGCAGAGTTCTCCCTGGCCTCTCTTAGATGGCCTCTGAGAGAGTGACCCTCCCACCGAGGCTTCCCTGGCATTTGAGCCAGCCTCCTCCAACACTGAACACGAGCCCCAAGGCTGGGGAAGCAAGAGATTTCAAAAAAGAAGAGGCTGGGCACTTGAGAGATAGAGGCAGGTCGGTCTCTGAGTTCCAGACTAGCCTTGGTACATAGAGCATTCCAGGACAGCCAGGAATGTGTAGGGAGACCCTGACTCAAGAGAGAGAGAGGGAGAGAGAGAGAGAGAGAGAGAGAGAGAGAGGAATTAGAGTTTACCTGGAAATTGCTGAACTGAAATGACTGATTCAGGGATGCATTAAAATGAGACGAGGTCTGGTGGTGGCGGCACACGCCTTTAATCCCAGCACTTAGGAGGTAGAGAGCAGTTGGCTTTCTGTGAGTTCAAGGCCAGCCTGGTCTACAGAGTGAGTTCCAGGACAGCCAGGGCTACACAGAGAAACCCTGCCTCAAAAATAAATAAATAAATATTTTTAAAAGTTACCACACACAAAAAAAGACTTTTATTCTGATCTGTGTGTGTGTATACACCTGTATGTGCCTGTGTGTCTGTACCTTCATAAATAAACGTGTATCACAGTCAAAAGCTAACTTGTGGGAATAGGTTCTCTCAATTTACCTTATGGGGCCCCAGAGTTTCCCCTTCCACTATGTGGGTCCCAGGGATCAAACTCAGATCACCATGCCTGGCCACAAGTGCTCTGCCCTACACAGCCATGTAGCCCAGCGGATCCCAGGAAGCCTCAGGAGAGACAAGTCTGAGCTGGGAGCAGACCAGAGAAGCTGGTCATGGGAAGATCTTGAAGAAAGAGTGTAGGTAGGGTATCAGGAACAATGGCCCTGGGGCAGCATGAAGTCCACACACTGAAGGAGGAAAAGGCAGTGTAGCTGGTATATCTGAGTGAGGGGAGGGTGGGCTGGTGGGCCTACCGGCCACAGTGAGAGAACAGAGCGTGAGTATTCTAGATGAAGCAAGGAACCACTCGCTGCACAGGAGTAGCTGCCCAGGCTGAGGGTGGCAAGGGTGGCCACCCCTGTTCTCAGCTACCTGTCACTGGGGACCTCAGCTATTGTCCTGTCTCAGCCTCTTTGAGGTTTTCCTCAGTTCAAGCTTGTCACTGTTATAGCTGGGTGGCATCCAGGCTCTGTGTATGTGTGTGTGCATGTGCCTGTGTATGTGTGTGTGTGTGCCTGTGTGTGTGTGTGTGTGTGTGTGTGTGTGTGTGTGTAAGTAGTACCCACAAAGGCCAAAGGTGGTGACAGGTCCCCTGCTCTATCTCTATGGCTGACAGTTCCAACTGGCCTGGCCATTCACATCCTACACCCACTGTCTGTTGTCACCTCCAGCTAGTGCCCACCCAGCCCTCTTTCCGGAGCTCTTTCTCTGATACTCTGGTCTGCATGTCCTTTCCCTCTCAGGGGAAGCACTATCTGTCCATTGGCTGGATAGACATGACGTCAGGCTGGTACCATTGACTGTGCTGGCTGTGCTTTTAGTTTGGAGAGTGGCTAGCCAAGGCTGCATAGTGAGGCCCTGTATCAAAAATAAAACACTGGGGGAGCTGGAGAGATGGCTCAGCGGTTAAGAGCATTGCTTGCTCTTCCGGAGGTCCTGAGTTCAATTCCCAGCAACCACATGGTGGCTCACAACCATCTGTAATGAGGTCTGGTGCCCTCTTCAGGCCTGCAGACATACACACAGACAGAACATTGTATACATAATAAATAAAATTAAAAAAAAATAATAATAAAAATAAATAAATAAAACACTGGGGGGTCCCTTTAATCCCATCACTCGAGGGGCAGAGGCAAGTGGATCTCTGTGAGTTCAAGGCCAGGTCTGGTCTACAGAGCAAGTTCCAGAACAAGCTTCAAAGTTACACAGAAAAACCCTGTGTCGAAAAACTAAAACTAAAACAAACAAACAAAAAAAAAAAAACAACAACAACAAAGAGCGAGAGCAGCAGAACCTGGTGTGGTGGCACACACTTAGCTTTTTGGGTTTTTGGTTTTTTGTTGTTGGTTTGGTTTCGAGACAGGGTTTCTCTGTGCAGCCCTGGCTGCCCTGGAACTCCCTCTATAGACCAGGCATACATGCAGGCAGAACACTGAACACATAATAAATAAATCTTTAGAAAAAAGAATAAATAAATAAATGTCCAGACTCCCATTTCCCCCTAGACCCCAGGACAGAATTTCCCTGTGTTCACAGACTCTATGCTCCCATCAAGTGTCTTCTCCTGAGCTCAGGCAATGAATACTGATGAACTCCTCACCCTCTGGCCACCAGCTGCTCTATCCACCCGCCTCCCTGTCTGTGCCCAAGAGGACCTGACAGCTGCGCCAGGACCCCCCACGTTAACACCAGCGCCCTCTGCCGTTTGCTGCACTTTCTCACCCCCCCCCCCCCCCATTATGTCTCCCACAAGTCAGACCTGGCGAGGCTGGATGTGAAGTGTAGAAGCCCAAAGACAATTCAGATCAGCCCTCCTGGCCTGTGGAGAGCCATGCACAGCTATGGATCACCCTGGCTGGGCAGATTACCAAACATTCCAGAAGGAACCCAGGAGCTTGAGCAATGGATTCCAGCCACAGAGTCCTGTACAAATGGTTTCCTCTTGTACTTCTGCCTCCAAGCAGAGTAAGCCAGTGAGGAAAGCTCCCTCCTTTGCACCCTCCTCCCTTCCCTACCCAGTGAGACACAAACCTCTCTCTTGAAGGTTTGCGGCCCTCTTCCTGCTTTTAGCTTCACTAGCCCCTCCTAGGTGCTGGGGTGAAGTACTGAAAACCCAAAACCCAATCTGGCTGAATGGATAGTGTTTTCAGAGTCAGGTAACCCGGGCTTCTGAGTCTGTTTTTCCACTGACTATTGTGTGGCAGGTGTAACCCCAGACAAGCTATGTCATTCCTCGGGTTTTCTTCATCTGTAATAGAAAAGACATGGTACTGTTTATACGGGGATGAATGGCCGTAGACTCCAGTGCAGTAACCTCCTCCAAGCCCCCTTAAGTCATTCATAGCAAAGCAGTGGCTGGCCCTACTTGAAGACACACTGAGCGAGATACCGGAGAAGGGTAACTGTAATAGACGCCTCTCAGAGCTGGTCCCTTTGTCCTGTCCAGTTCACATCATTCACCGAGCAGCCCGCTTCTGGGTTGCTCACAGACCCAGGCCGGAGCATCCAGGCTCACCCTTGCTTCCACAGCTCCTACTAGATGCTGAGCACACAGTAGGGGCTTGGTCACCACTGAATGAAAGGAATGAATGAATCAATTAGTAAACAAATGACTCTTTATTCGGACCTCTTACAAAAGTCCCTTGACTTCTCAGTCCAGAGGTGTTTGATGGTGGACCTGCTGAGCAGGAACGATGGGGTTGTGACATTAGTAACAACAAATAACTAAAGCCCGCTGAGCTGTGTTGCCCAGACACTGTGGTAAAGAACGCTATGAGGAAAAAAAGGGGGGGGGGGCAAGTATAGTGGTGCACACCTTTAACCCCAGTACTAGAGAGGCAGAGGCAGTATTTTTGTGAGTTCGAGGCCATCCTCGTCTGCATTGGAAGTTTCAGTCTAGCCAGGGAGGATACACAGTGAGACTGTCTAAAAAAGGAAGAAAGAAAGAAAGAAAGAAAGAAAAGGAAAAAAAGCATTTAATGTTAACATCCACTTTGTAGAAGAAAGTGAGGCACAGAGGACTGAGGAAGCCTCCTTCCTGGAGGAGATGCCTACGTTTGAGAGGAAAATCTGAGCCCAGACTGGTAAAGCCAAAGAAGACCCAGCTGAGGGATGGAACTGCAGATCTTGCGGAACCCACAAAGACCAGCCTGAATTCAGGGGCCCCGCCTCTCTCTGCGTCGCCACGGCAACATCCTGCACATGCGCCTCACGGACCGCGTCTCGGCCTGGCGGAAGCGGGCCCTGCGGGCTGGGCAAGCACACAGAGCGGGCTTTTAAAGGGATCATTCCCTACTCCTGCTTGCTTGCTCGCCCGGACTGTGAAAGTTGGTGGTCACGGGAGTCGGAGGGTAGGAGGCAGAGGTGAAGCCGGGCTGTGAGACCCTCGGAAGGCGACAAGGCAGAAGAGGCTTGTGGAAATACCTTCCTAGGACAAGGTTGGGCTGTTTCCCCAGAGAGCGATGTGGAGGAGTGGGGCTATGGAAATGCACCTTCGGGTGGGGAGCCAGGCTTCAAGGGGGAGCCAGAAAGAGATTAAGAGGAACCATGGGGCCGGTTTGGGATAAAAGTTAACCCTCTCTCCACTCCTATTCCCAGTATTCTGCCACATCCTAACCTCACTGGCGTGCTCAACCATGGCCAGACCTCCCGCGCACGGTTCGGTGATTGTCCCAGACTGGCATGAAACCGTCGAGGGCAAGGAGTACTTAGCCTGCATCCTGCGCAAGAATCGCCGGCGGGAGTTTGGTAAGTGCCTCCCCTCCTCACCTCGCCAAACACCACATACCACACTTGTGCGCTCTTGACACTCCCTGGGGTAACAGAAACAGGACAGTGGGACCTGCCCAACAGCAGCCCTCACCGTCGAGGTCCCCTGGATGCAATCTCTCTAGGGCCCCCTCCCCCAAATCTGCTTAAAGCTAATTCCACCAGCAGAGCCAGGAACATGGAAACAGCCCATGCCTGCCAATAGCAATGTCACCAGAGATGCTGTTGACTGAGAGCCCTCCTCACCTGGAGTTACGCCCTCTGCTGGGCGCTTTGCACAGTGACCCACTGAGCAGCCTTTTTCTAGAAGACAGGGTTTCACTATATAGCCCAAACTCGTTATGTAGACCAGGCTAGCTTTGAACTCAGAGATCCACCTGCTTCTGCCTACCAAGTGCTGGGATTAAAGGCATGTGCCACCATTCAACTTTCTTCTCTTTTCTTTATTTCTCTCTCTATTTGTTTTTGTTTTGTTTTGTTTTCAAGACAGGGGTTCTCTATGTAGCTTTGGAGCCTGTCCTGGCACTTGTTCTGTAGACCAGGCTAGCCTCAGACTCACAGAGATCTGCCTGCCTCTGCCTCCTGAGTGCTGGGATTAAAGGCTAAAGGCGTGAACCACCGACGCCTGGTGGGTTTTTTTTTTGTTGTTGTTGTTGTTGTTGTTTTGTTTTGAGACAGGATTTCTTTATGTAGTCCCTGGTTGTCCTGAAACTGACTCTGCAGACCAGGCTGGCCTCGAATTCACAGACCCGCCTACCTCTGCCTCCCCAGCCCTGGGATTAGGCATATGCCACCGGGCCAGGCCTATTCAACATTCTTAGCAGAACAGTTAAGAGACGTGCTTAGGGTCATACCCTAATGAGGAAAGGAGAACCCTTCAGTGCCTTGCTGGCCTTGCTATCTAAGGTGAGGCATTGATGTGCCCCTGAATTAAGCCACATTACCCAAGCAAGGCCCTGATTCAGGCCAAGAGGCATGACATCAGCTTTGGGAGTCCAGCACCAGCAGGCTTCAGACCAAAGCTACTGGAGAGGCTGAGGCAAGAGGATCACGAATTCAGGGATTGCCATGGCAACATAGAAAAAGTCTGTCTCATGAGGCTGGGATATAGCTCAATGGTAGAGCTGTCACCTAGCATGCAGAGGGCTGTTCTGTCCCTGGCGCCTCAAAAACCAGCTCAGAACTTAGGACTTCAAATCATTAGGTTATGGAATATCATCGTTTTGACATTTTTATGTTCAAGGTTTTATTACTAACTATTCTTTGTGGGTATGAGTGTTTTACATGCATGCATATCTGTGCAGCACCTGCATGCAGTGCCCTCGAGGTTAGAAGAGGAGGGCAGATCCCCTGAGACTGCAGCTACCGATGGTTGTGAGCCACCATGTGGGTGCTGGGCACGGAACCTGGCTCCTCTAGAAGAGCAGCTGGTGCTCTTCACCACTGACCGATCGCTCCAGCCCCTGTGTGCAGGTTTTAAGAACTCATGAAGATCTCAACGAATTGGTTTTATGGGATTTATTTCTAGTAACTGGAAATACTTGTGCTTATATTTCTCTGTTAAAGGAGAAATTCTACAGCACCCTGTTTTTGTGTATGAGAAATCCAGATTGAATAGTAACAATAAAAAATATTTCAAAGCCAGTGGCGGTGGCACATGCCTTTAATTCCAGCACTCGGGAGGCAGAGGCAGGTGTATCTCTGTGAGTTCCAGGCCAGCCTGGTCTATAAAGCAAGTTCCAGGACAAGCAGGGATACACAGAGAAACCTTATCTCAAAAAAAAAAAAAAAAATTTCCATCATCAAACTTAAAAGGGGCCTGAAAAGGCTGGAGAGGTGGCTCAGCAGTTAAGAGCACTGGCTGCTCTTCCAGAGAACCCAGATTTGATTCCCAGAGCATACACAGCAGCTCACAACTCTCTGTAACTCCAGTGGTAGTGAATACAACACCCCCTCTGGTCTCTGCAGGCACCGGGCACACATATGATACACAGACATACACGCAAGCAAAACACCCAGTGCTTTGTGTGCCCAGAGGGGATGTCATCCAGGCTCCGGGCAAAGCTCTCAAGCATCTCGCAATTTGAACAGATCAGCTATGAGATCCTAGGTCGTCTCTGTGTATTCTGGGCCTCTGTAGAGCTGGGTCGAAGGCAGAGAGCCAAGCTGGCTAGTTAACTTTAGATATAGGGTATCTCTCCCAGGGTCTGAGCAAGAGCAGAATTAACTCCCCAGCTCCCTGGGTCCCTCCTTGCCACAGGGTTGCTGGAACGGCCAGTGCTACCCCCTTCAGTGGCCATTGATACTGCCAGCTACAAGATCTTTGTGTCCGGAAAGAGTGGTGTGGGCAAGACCGCACTGGTGGCGAAGCTGGCAGGCCTGGAAGTGCCTGTAGTGCACCATGAGACCACTGGTGAGTGGCTCCAACCCTCAGCCTATCCTTGGTAGCCTTCCCTGAGACTCCCTGAGACAGAGGCAAGAACCCTGCTCCAGACTGCCTTAGCATGGGTTTATACATAACAATGCCATTTCCTCTGTGGCCTTGGGAAGTCATGTTGTTTGGGTTGGTGCTAGAGACAGCACTGGCGGCTGGTTGGCATAAAGGTAGATGCCCATCCCCCAGCTGTGTTTCTTTTTGATCCATCCTACATCCCAGGACATTTGAGGTCTCCTCCCTCCCGCTTTCTTGTGGCACAGGCCAATCCCACATGGCCTACCAAGGACTCCTGTTCCTTCCTGCTCTGAGGATTCTCCCAGGTCAGGGACCATGCCTTCCACGTCAGGGTGGTGACCCACAAGGTGGACATGTAGCTCTTCCTCATGCCCCTTCCCAGTCCCGCCCCACCCCACATCCCACTTCTGATTGGCTGATCCCAATTCTCCTCAGGTATTCAAACTACTGTGGTGTTTTGGCCGGCCAAGCTAAAGGCCAGCGACCGTGTGGTCATGTTCCGCTTTGAGTTCTGGGACTGTGGCGAGTCTGCCCTCAAGAAATTTGATCACATGTTGCCGGTGAGCTGGGCAGGTGGGCCTGGGTGGACTTTGGGTGGGGCTTGTCAGAGACCCGCCCTGTCTACGGGAACCTGGCTTGGATATTAGTTACCTGAGGGCGGTCGGTGTACTCTGACTAGCCCCAGGACCTGTGTTCCAGCCACTCTCTGCTCTGGGCCTCAGTTTCTCAGTCTGTGGAAGGAGAAGATGCCACTGATCCTTCTTGGGGGCCTCTAGGCCCACGGAGTCACGTGGTCACATGTCCTGTGTCCTCAGGCTTGCAAAGAGAATGCAGACGCCTTCCTGTTCCTCTTTTCTTTCACTGACCGAGCCTCCTTCGAAGACCTTCCTGGACAGTTAACCCGTGTAGCCAGCGAAGCCCCTGGGGTCGTCAAGATGGTCATTGGCTCCAAGTATCCTTTGAGTGGCCCATAGGATGCACACCTGTCACCCTGTGAGGTCCAAGCCATGGGCTTTTCTTTAAAGGGAGGCCCCTGGGTGTGGCCTCTAGAGAGGAGGCCAAGGCTGAGTGTGCTGGGGTGCTGAGCAGAGCCTCTTGGCTAGGAGCCTTAACCCTCCTCCAGGTTTGACCAGTACATGCACACAGACGTACCAGAGCGAGACCTCACGGCCTTCCGGCAGACCTGGCAACTGCCCTTGTTACGGGTGAAGAGTGTGCCAGGGCGGCGGCTGGCAGATGGGCGTACACTGGATGGTCGGGCTGGGCTGGTTGACGTTGCGCATGTGCTCAACGGCCTTGCAGAGCAGTTGTGGCACCAGGACCAGGTGGCAGCCGGCCTGCTCCCCAGCTCCCCAGAGAATGCTCCTGGCTGAAGGGTGATGGCTCTTGAGTAGAGACAGGGACTGATGATCCCCACTCCCGTCTCTTGGGTGACCCAGGATTGATGGTGGGACCTAGGGCCCAAGGCTGATGCAAGAACACTGTTCTGGGGGCTGGAGAGATGGCTCAGAGGTTAAGAGCATTGCCTGCTCTTCCAAAGGTCCTGAGTTCAATTCCCAGCAACCACATGATGGCTCACAACCATCTGTAATGGGGTCTGGTTCCCCCTTCTGGCCTGCAGGCATACACACAGAATATTGTATACATAATAAATAAATAAATAAATATTAAAAAAAAAAAAAGAACACTGTTCTGTCCTCGGGACTGGCTGGGGAGGGCCTTCACCTGACTGTCAGATGGAGACACAAGGCTCCAGAGCTGGAAGGTCTCCCAGCCCCACAGCCCTTCACCCTTCTGCAGCACCCACCGAGGTCTCAGAAGGACCCTGGACCTCTCTTGACTTCAGCCAGGAGCATTATTGGTTGAAATAACACCACTTGCTCTAACAGATAAACTCTGACATCTCAGCGGCTGAACTCTGTCGATTTGTTTTGTTTTGGTTGGTTTTTTGTTCCTTTGGCTCCCTGCACCGACTCAGAGCATTGTTCCCAGTTTATTAGCATCCCGGGCAGCAGACACGGAATGAGTGCATATAGAAGGCCACCGGAGGAGGATGGGGTTACCTCAGGGCTCGAGTCTCTCCAGGTCCCTCAGCGGTTCAGAGTACTGGTTACTCTACCAAAGGACTCAGGTTTGGTTCCCAGAATCCACATTGCGGCTCCTAAGGGTTTGTAATTCCATTTCCAGGGGATCCAGCATTCTCTTCTGGCTTCCTCAGGCCCCAGGCACATTTGAGGCACACCACTCTATATGACTCCAGTTCACGGGGATTTGATTTCTGAGGGCACCAGGCACACACTTGGTGCACAGACATACATGCAGCTCAAATACTGTATACACAAAATAATAATAAAGTTATTAAAAAAAAAAACTAGTGTTGCATCCTGATCACAACCTTGCTGTGTGTGGTCACATGGGACACCCATGGTGATCTATCCAGACCCCTTACAGCAGCCTGCAAAACCCTGTTCCATCCTGCCTCGACCGGTTCTCCCTGACTGGCACTACTGGATCCTTGAATAGAACACATTTACTTACACCCAGTGCCTTTGCACTGTGTCCTGCCGGGATTCCCTCCACTCGGACTTTATGTTGGTTTAGGCATCAGCATTGACACCGCCTTCATAAGGACCCGCGGAATCCCTAGAGGCCCTGTCCCTTGAGCTTCCTCACGTTTATCGCTCTAGTTTGTTGTCTGTCTTCTGCCACTAGAATGAACTCTAGGTGAACAGAGACCTGGTATGTCATGCCATGCCAGCTACCCTACCGCTGGTGTCTTTAACATGTAGAAGGTGCTCAGTAAATGGTTGTTGAATGAATCCATGAATCTCGCTCTCCATCTATCGAGCCATTCAAACACTAGTCGTTTAGTGGTTAGTGTTTTCAGAAAGCAAACCCATTATTTTAACAGGGAATTTAATATAATATTTGGATAGATGGATGCTGGAAAACTGAAAAAGCAGAAAGGGAGCCGGGCGATGGTAGCGCACGTCTTTAATCCCAGCACTCGGGAGGCAGAGGCAGGCGGATCTCTGTGAGTTTGAGACCTGCCTGGTCTACAGAGCTAGTTCCAGGACAGGAACCAAAACCACAGAGAAACCCTGTCTCGAAAATTAAAAAAAAAAAAAAAAAAAACCAGCAGCAAGTTAAATGAACCTGTCTGCCTGGGGTGTCTGAGCCGTCAGTCACCTGGGCAGCTCTCTCTGAGCTAAGGACCTCAGCAAAGAGTGTTAGAAGGGAGAGGTCAGCAATTCACTCATCGGTATTTTGAGACAAGGTCTCACTCTGTAGCTCTGTCTAGCCTCAAACTCACACTAATCCAGCTTCCTTTGCCCACCAGTGCTGAGGAAGACCTGTGCTATCATGGCTGGGAAAATTAGCAAAAAAAAAAAAAATTATTTGTCCGTTTCCCTCTGCACAGCAGTTTCTCTAGGATTCTCCAGATGCAGCCTTTGAAAGAAGTGTGGTTTGTTAAGGAGAAGCTTGCCATCTGGAAGGAAGCCTGGGAGGGAGCGGCGGACTCTCCTGAGGCCGACTGTCCAGGGCTTGCTTCACTCTACCTTGTCCTTGCTTCTCTGAAAACACAGGAAGCTGCGGAAGGGAAGAGGGCCAGCCTCCTGACTTTCCTTGCCTGGTGGCACGGGTGGACCTCCCAAGCCAGCTCCAGCGCCCTCATCGGAGGGGATACCAGTGAGGTGTCTAGGCGACAGGAAAGCCCACCTCTCCAGCAGCCCCCACGCTGGGATAAAAAGCCCTGCAAGAACTTCTGGAAAACCTTCTCCTCTTGCAAATAACCCCGCCCTGGCCACCCCTGGAAATGCATCCATAGTCTGAATAAAGAGTGTCAGGCAGCATGGAGCTTTCCTAAGTCAACTTTTCTTCGCAGGCCATGTGAAAATTACTAAATTTCAGTAATGGCCACTACAAATATTGGTGAAATAAGGAACTGGAAACCCATAGGGAACCCTCCAACTCAAAATTTGGTGGTGCTTGCCAGAGTGTATCCAGCAGGACCACTGGGCTTCCATCCTGGTTCTGGGAGAGAGGGCTTCTCTTCTCTCAATTGAAAACAGCTAAAATTGTGTGTGTGTGTGTGTGTGTGTGTGTGTGTACACAGCACACAATTTTTTCAACAAGGTCTGTGTGTAAGCTCAGGCTAACTTCAAACTTCCAGTGTAGCCAAGAATGACCTTGAAATGACCCTCCTGCCTCTACTCCTCAAAGGCTCAAGGTAGCATTTTTAAGAGTTCCAAACAGCGTCTTCGGTTTATTTTTGGCTTTTGGAGATTGGGTCTCACATATAGCCCACTTGGTCTTGAACTCACAGCCTGTCTTCATCTCTTGAGTGCTGGGATTACAGATGCACCCTTGCAGCCAGCTCTATTCCAGTCTGTTTTAATATGAGTTGTTTAATTTAAAGTCTCCCCAGACCTGAGGCAGAGTGCGTGCCCACAGCCACAGGGTCTCCCCTGCTCCTCAGCACTGAAGTTCACAAGCCAGTGAGCAACACTGCTCAACCAGCACCCTGGTTATTCCTCATAGTTTAGCTAAAATTAATTTTGAAACTAATGTTGTGCTGTTAAACTGACACCATGCTGACATGCTTATAAAAGTTATATTCAAATTCGCTCTGCAGAAGTTTTAATTAGAAATATTGATTTGTTACATTTCTTTTCCCCGCCTGTAGCTTCAGTTTTACTTTGTGAGAAAAGACATCTAACAAAAGCATCACACTGAGCAGCGCTGCCCCATCCAGCCATTTGGAGACGGGGAATCACGGTTTAGCCGTGGCTGGCCCGCGCCTTGGTGTGCAGACCAGGCTGGCCTCCAGTGCACATTGAGCCGCCTCTTTCTGCCTCTCATGTGCTGGGACTTGGGGTGTGTACCACATTGCCTGGCTTGCCTTGACTTCTGAGACAGGTACCCCCAAAATCCAGTATCCATGATGAATGAGAGAAAGGGGGGGAGGCCATGACTGCTCCTAGGTGTGGTGGAGAACGTTTACCGTAGATAAAAGCCAGAGCACAGCCAGAGGCAGGAACAACTGGGAGAGTCCAGAGTGACGTGACCAGGCTGAGCTGGGCCATGTGAAGAGATGGGGAGTGAGGGGGAAGCAGGTGCAGCAGCCAGGAGGCCAAAGATAAAAGGGGAGGTTACCAAAATGCCTGGATTATATAGGAAGAGCCTCTGGGGAAGGGCAACCCAGCCCCTAGGCTGAAGAGTTCAGGGCAGAGGGCAGGTGTGCCAGCCATATCCTGTAACAGGTAGGGACTGAGGGATGCTGGGAGAACCTGGCAGCCAGATCGGCTTTGATGAGTTAGACACCTCAGCTGCTTGTCCCGGGCTTGAAACTTAACACACACTTAATGCGCAATTGTCACGGCAGCTTTTCATTTTAATTTCCAGTGAATAACAGATGAGAGGCCTTTCTGTGTCTGATCTGACAGTGAGCAGCACTGACCTCCCAGCTAAGCAGGATTTTGGTCTTCCCGAGGAAGCAGAAGAGAAATCACTATTCCCAAGTATAGTATGTTTTAATTCTTCCCCATAGCCCTGAAATCCTTTCCGGTCCTACACACTTGAACTGTTGAGCCACGGTCATTAGGAGAAACACTAAGTGTGAAGGCTCGAGATGCTAAACTTTTGTTCACTGCGCACGTGGCGTCAGCACGGCTGCACACAACAGTTCTCTAATCCACTGTGTTGCTTCCAGGGATCAACCCAGGGTTCTCAGGCTTGGGAGCGATCGCCTTTAATCACTGAGTTGTCTTGCAGACTACCAAGACTGTGGCAGGTTGGGTGTGGTGGTTTAGGGCGGTGATTGCTGCCCTCAGGAGATTGAGACAGGTGGGTTGCTGTGAGTTCAGGATCAGCCTTGGCAGTGGCTGAAGGCCACTGCAGTGGGTGGGTCTTTCTTTCAGTGTGTGGCGAAAGGCTGGGACTCTACTGCCTAGGTGTGAACCACAAAGCATACAGTTCTGCATCTAGAATTACGTCGGTTTCTGAGAGTTGGACCTAAAGTGGGGGAAAAGCCCAAGGCTGGCTCACCAGGATGAGCTTCATCCTCTTCTCTGGACACCAGGGAGCGGACTCCAACTGTGATTGCTGACTTGGCTCTGTGCTCCTCAGAGCTGAGCCCGGCTGGCCTGGCCGTAATTACTAGCTGAGTATGGCAACATGGTGATGGATGGAGCTGCATCTCAATCTGCACAGCAGCCTAGGGACCAGTGCTGGGTCCGTGTCCTGGTGGCCGCTGTCCGGCTGAATGGGTAGAGAGGCTCCAGGTCTTGAATTTTTTTTTCTAGAACAGAGGTGTACTAGTGTTTTAAATTCACCTGGAGTCTTCTCTGCACTGTCCTTGAGGCTGTGAACTTACCTTAGTATGCCCCCCTGGAAGACAATAAAGCTAATGATCCTGCCAGGTAGTCTGTTGGTTCAGGCTACCTAAGTTCAGGACTTTGTTGTTGGCCTCAGCTGTGTTAGACTGTCTGTGGTTTGCAGGTATTTGGCCTTGATATGCTCACAGGGGGTGGCACTATTAGGAGGTGTGGTTCTGTTGGAGTGGGTGTGGCCTTGGAGGAATGTGTCACTGTAGAGGTGGGCTTTGAGGTTTTCCATGCTCAGGACACCATCCAGTGTCTCAGTTAACTTCTTGTGGCCTGCAAGATGCAGGACTCTAAGCCACTCCTCCAGCACCGTGTCTACCTGCGGGCTGCCATGATGATAATGGACTAAACCTCTGCAAACTGTAAGTGAGCCACCCCAATTAAATGTTTTTTTTTTTTTTTTAAAGATTTATTTATTAATTATGTATACAGCGTTCTGCCTGCATGTACACCTGCAGGCCAGAAGGGGGCACCAGGTATCATTACAGATGGTTGTGAGCCACCATGTGGTTGCTGGGAATTGAACTCAGGACCTCTGGAAGAACAGTCAGTGCTCTTAACCTCTGAGCCATCTCTCCAGCCCCCCCAATTAAATGTTTTCCTTGTAAGAGCTGCTGTGCCAGGCAGTGGTGGTGCATGCTTTTAACCTCAGCACTTGGGAGGCAGAGGCAGGCAGATCTGTGACTTCAAGATCAGCCTGGTCTACAGAATGAGTTCCAGGACAGACTCCAAAGCTACAAAGAAACCCTGTCTCAGAAAAAAAAAAAAAAAACGTAACTGAGGATGGATCGTTTCTACTTGGTCTTGTCCTTTACCAAACCCTGACCATGATACACCCCTTTTACCTTGACTTCTCAGAGGGCGGGGGAAGGGTCTCAGCTCTGGAGAGCTAGTTTCACCCGCTTCACGCGACCCTGTGCAGTGGAGGCGGAGGCACAGCCCCCTAAAGTTATCTAGAGCTCCTGCCCTACCCACTACAAGGTCGGAGCCCTCTGGTTTCCAGCGAGGGGTACAGGGTGGTTTTATTTGGGCAGATGAGAAGGTTGGAGATTTTTCTCCACCTTTTTCCTGCTCTCCGTGGGATGTTGACTTAACCCTATCTCCCCTCACCTACTTTGGCCAGCATCTTCTTGAAGTGTAACGGTGCTCAGGGAGGGCAAAGTAGAGAGGAGGAATAGAGGACTCCACTATGAATTTAAAGTCATCAATAAGAGGCTAAAGAACCCACTCCCAAGAAGAGTTCCCTGGGATCTGGGCATGCAGGTTTGGCATGCAAGAGGGTCTGAGTTCAACCCCCAGCATTGTGTGTGGTGGAGTTCTGTGTAATCCCAGCATTCAAAAAGGTAGAGGCGGGAAGCTCAACACGCTAAGATCCTCCTCTACATACCAAGTTTGAAAAAAAGAAGTCAGCTATCAGCTAGGCATCTCCCAATACACAGTCAGTGGGTAAGGATGTAGGCTCGGGGCGGGGTCAGACAGACCTGGATCTCAATACTGGCTATTCTTTTCTTTCTTTTCTTTTTTAACTTATTTATTTGTTGTGTACACTATAGTCTGCCCACATGCATGCCCGCAGGCCAGAAGAGGGCACCAGATCTCATTACAGATGGTTGTAAGCCACCATGTGGTTGCTGAGAATTGAATTCAGGACCTTTAGACAAGTAGGCAGTGCTCTTAACCACTGAGCCATCTCTCCAGCCCTCTTTCTTTTTTTTAAGATTTATTCATTTTTACTTTTTATGTGTATGAGTGCTTCGCCTGCGTGCATGTAACTGTGTGCACCCTGTACACGCCTAGCGCCCATGAAAGCCAGAAGAAGGTGTCAGATAATCTGAAACTGGAGTGACACACGGTGTGAGCCACCCTGTGAACGCTAGGGACCGAGTCTAGCTCCTCTGCAAGAGCAGCACAGACTCTTAACCACTGAGCCATCTCTCCAGCCCCTGGCTGTTCTTGTTAATTAAGTCCCTAGAACCTCACTGTCACCTTCTGTAAAGGGTGTGTGTGGAGGGGAAACCGCACAGATGGGACAGTGCTCATGTGTAGGGGCACAAGCCTTGTGTACTCACTCCCCTGCTACATGGTAGCAGCCACGGTAGGGGCTTCACAGGGTCCTGACAGACAGTAAGTGAATCCATGCACGTGAAGTGCTTGGCATGCAGGAAGCGTACTGGTTATTAACCCCATGGGCATCATCTTCATACCTACCCTACATACGCCTCTGAATAGCGCCCAATTGGCAATTTCAAGGTGCTCACACAAATGGTCGGTACACTAGGAGATAGGAAGCAGCTCTATGTTTTCCACAGACTTGGCAAAGTTGTGTGCCTGGCACCGAGCATGGACCCCCCCCTCCACCCTCACCCCTCCAACCTCTTATGGAGGCTGCCTTGGCTTCGGCTGTTTCCTTGGCCTTACTGAGAACTCTCTCCAGGTAGGCGTCTGGACTCTGGGAAGATTCCATTGGGGAGGCAGCTGCTACAGACCCAGAGGCTGGTCATTCCAGCAGACAGGGGTCAGTGGTGAGGAGTGGCCATACTGGAGGGGCTATCCAGAAAGGGCCCTCCAGAAGATAACTAGCTTCCAAGATTGACTTCTATCTCCCAGGCATGGGAGACAGTCATGTGTCCCCAATTTTCAGAGGTGGGATAGGTTCAGAGAGGGGCAGAGGAGGTCTCAGAATCCCTGAGGGGGATTCCAGGTTTGGAGGTTCCTTTGCAACCCTTCCAGGACGTCCTTCACTCCTACAAAATCCCCGCCTCTCCCCAGTACTTGGAAAGCTCCAAAAAGGGGTGTCTTACCTCTTAGGAGCAGAACCCTGCTAACCCCATCTTTAGGCAGCTGTCTGGGGTCCCTCAGAGCCTCTGGGAGGCATAGGACTCCCATTGTTCCAGCCCCCTCTTGTACCCGACTGGCCAAACCGGTTCTGGGGAAGGGGGGCGGGGAGCAGGCACGTCGAGACAGCCGCCTGCCTCTGCAAGGCTCCCTCACCCTCGCTTCCCCCCTCCCTGCCCCACACAATACCCAGGAGCTTGCATTGTCCAGCATTGGAGCCATGCTGGCATGGTCCTTTGAGGACTTGGCTACAACCCCATTGCCCCCAGGGTGGCCTGGAGCCCTGGACTGTACCAGCCGCTGGACGGAGGAGCTCCCTGGCTGAGGTAGGGCCCTGGGTCAACAGCCCAACCTCCTCTTGCTGTGTCCCGAGGGAGTCCTTTGTGCTGTGCCGCCTGCCCGCTGCTTCTAGCTTCAACCCGTTCTTGGCCTCCTGGGGCTCTGCTTGACTTGGAACCCCCTTTCCAGACAAGACTGCCATCTAGATTTTGTCCCTTAAGGAGAAAGGGAGTCTGGAAGGTCTGTTCTCTGAACAGGGAGTCAAGGGGTACTAAGAAGGGAAGGAAAAGCTGGGTACCGCGGGGCCAGAGGTGCTGTCCCGGACAACGGCAATGCTTTGGGATGCTCTGACACCTTGCTAGATAGACCTGTTGCCCTCTCTAACTAATAGTGCCTCTGCACAGACCACTCCCTGGCCTCTGCCAATCCTTCTTAGCCTGCAGAGACACCTTTGACACAGGCTTCATAGAGGAGAGTTCTGGGGGACCTCAGGGTCACTTGACACACAAGGACACCAAGGCCCAAGGAAGGGCTTTATAATTTGCCTAGGGCCTCACAGGACTGGCCAGTGTCAACACAGGACCTTGAACCTGGTTTCCAGAGTGACCCTTGCCTTGTGAGCACTCCTCTGTCTTGGGGTCACATCTAGAGCCAGCCACTTGAAGCCAGTCCTTCCTGACCTTTTATTTTAATGGAAAAGTGCTACACAGTCTTAAACCCGGCTTGGACCCAAATTACCAACATCAAGGCTAGGTGGGCTGTTGCCTGAAAAGCTACTTGAATGGTGTCTCGGCTTGACGGGCCATTGCCACAGCCGCTGGGTCAGGGGCACAGTGGGGCTGACCCACTCCCACACTTTCTGCCACCCTTTTTATAATTTTTTTTTTTTAATTTCGTATTCCAGAAAGCCCTGCACATTCCCTTAGCACCCTGGCCTTCTCCTCTGAGGTCTTAACTGAAGTTGCTCCGGCCTTAAGTTCCAGTGTTTTGGTGATTTACCTTATAAATCACAGGAGAGGGGCTCATTTCCTGTTCTCCAGGGGCTTCTAGGGCAGGGTGTGTTCTTATGCCTAAGAGAGACCCGTGTGGTGAACAGAGACTAACTGTGTCCCCTCCCACTTGTTACTACCACTGGCTGCTGGCCCAAGCCATTCCCCGCACCCCAAAGACTGAGAAAATGACCCCACTGGGGGACTGGCTATCGATGACAAGCCTCCCACCGTGCCCTGTGCCCGAGGCACCTCCTGTGCTCTGCCATTAATTCTTGTATTAGCAGTGAGGAAGTTGGTGCTAGCTCTCCTACAATGCTGGCTGAGGAAACCGAGGTTCACAGTGGCTTACCCAGCTGAGCACGGTAGTCTTGAGGGGCGAAGGCTAAATCAGGGAGTGAGTGAGGTACGGCTGTTGTTTTTGTTTGGGGGAGGGCCTCTGAGGACCAGTCAGTCTTCACCTCAGGCCTCCTAAGGCAGGGGTACGGGGAGAAGCAGGTGAGATACAAAGCAGGAGACTCAACCGTCCTCTACTAGGCCTACCCAGATGCTGTCTCTGGTTCAGGCTGGAGATTACTGCCCCATCTTTGTACTGGGTCCTTGCGGGTTTTAGCCTTGCAACCTTGAGCTGAGACCTACACCAGGAAGCCTTCCTGATGTACTCAGATTGGGCTGGGCCCAGCCCCCTACTGTGTTAGTGCCTGTGGCTTGTTTCTTGCCAACTCAGATTATAACCGCTTTTGGTTTTTGGCTCTCCCACCAGACTGGCAACCCCACTGGGCATGAGCTATTATTTGTTCATCTGTCTTCCTGTTTTTTGTTTGTTTGTATTTTTCCTGGATTTCCCATCGGCCTGGGCATCTGGTCACATCGGAAATCCTCGGTGTCTCCTGGTGTCTCAGGCTCTGGGCCTCAAGCGACTCAGCCTCTGTGGTTTCTCTTCTTCAGTCTCCCAGAGTCGCTTCCCGAGCTGTTGTCTCCAAGGCCGCTATTTCTCTGGGTCTCCCTCTCGTTTCTGTCAGACTGGGCACTGCTCCTTTGGCCCAAGGGGCCTCTGCAAGGGTCCTTGCTGCCCAGACTGCCCGCAACGCAGCCAGGCAAGTGTAGGCCCCCGCCCAGCCCCAGCCCGCTGCCTGCTCCCTCCCTCTCCTCGCCTCACCACAGGGTTTGATGAATCAAACCCTTTGTCTGGGTGGGATCTCCCCCAGCCAGCTGGGCAGAGAGAGGGCTTCCCCTGCCGGAGCAGGCAGGCAGCATCAGCAGCAGGCTTCGGTCTCTGCTGAAGAGGTGAGGGGCGAGAGGGAGGCCACAGAGGGCTCTGGGGCAGAGGCGGAAGGGGCTTGGACCTCTGGGCTCATCATTCTGTCCTGGGGTACTGGCAGACTGCCTGGGGATGGCATCCTGCCCAGAAACGGCCCATTCTGCCTGGTTTGATCTAGTGTCTGGGAGCTGGGACGGGGATAAGCCCCTCTGTCATCCCAAACTGGGGATTGGGCATCTCCTTGCTCTTCCCTGGGAGGGACTAATCTGGGTGGTGGCCTGCCTGCCAGTCTGTGACCCTGCCAGCCAGCCTGGCAAGGGTGTAGGCATCACTCAGCAAGAAGGCCTCAAGCCTGGGTATGGAAGGGGGTGGATAACTTCAGAACAAGGACATTGGGCCCGTATGTATCTGCATCCTGGTGTGTGTGTGTGTGTCTGCCTGGAGCCGTGTGAGGAAGCTTGTGTGTGTGTGTGTGTGTATGTGTGCGTGTCACTGAAAATTTCTAAGCCTATGTTACAAATCAAAACAAAAAAAAAAGTATGTGTCTATCCGCATTTGAGATGTCTCAAGTTATCTATGAAAGTATGTGTGCCGGATGAGAATGTGTGGCTGTGTGTTGGAACATGAATTTGTGTGACAACGTATGTTATCTATATGTCCGGTCACATGTCAATGTGTATTAGAAATTGTACAAGGTGATTGACAACGCAGATGTGGAAGTCGTGACGCCTGTGTGGAAATCCTGGCTCTACTAGTCGGTAGATAACCACTGTGCCTCCCTCTCCTCTTCTATCAAATGGGGGTAACGGCATCGGTGCGGAAGGCTGGTGGAGATTAACTGAGGGGCTACACGGGTGTTGCTCATTTAATAAGTACTGACTAACACTGACGATTACTAAAAGGGCATGTGAGTGTGTTTGTGTAGCTGCGCACACTTGTGCCCGCCAGAGGGGTTGCCCGGGCCCCCAGGACATGATGGCTCACCAGCACTGCCTGTTGTACTATATCTGGATCTCATCCCTTCTCCCCTCCAGGCCCAGGAGGGTGGCAGAGCAAAGGAGGAATGGACTGTGGGCCACCCGCAACCCTCCAGCCTCACCTGGCTGGACCACCTGGCACTGCCCGCCGCCCGGTAGCTGTGTGCCAGCAGGAAAGCCTGTCTTTCGTGGAACTGCCCTCTCTGCAGCCCCCAAGCCCAGTGTGTGTGGATCTTTTCCCCATTGCGCCTGAGGAGCTTCAAGCTCCTGGTAGTCGTTGGTCCCTGGCGACCCCTGCCCCTCTCCAAGGACTGTCATGGCCACCTTCCCCAGGAAGCCCAGATTCCCATATCTCCAGCAGTGGAGGAATGAGACCCAGCAGGGCTGGCAGCTGGCCCCACTGTCCTGGTGCCCAGCCCCCAACTCTGGTGGGACCCTGGAGCTCCCAACACATGCAGCCCCAGCGCAGGGCCAGCCATGGTGGCTCAGAGAAGAAGTCAGCCTGTGAGTCACCCTGGTGGGGGGGTGGGTCTTTTGGGGCAGCTGGGGGGGGGGACTGGGAGGCTCTTTTTGAACTCTCTAAACTTCAGAATGTCCCAAAAGACAGGACAAGTTTTACCGACAAGGGAAAGATGGCTCATAGGGTCCAAATGACTTGCCAACATTACATAACCAGTTTGGCTGCCGCTGTTCCAGTTCCCTTGCTCTCTGTGGTCAGGACCTCTGATATCCTGTTGCCCTGGGACATCTCATTTTGATGCTCAGGGTCATGCCACCACAACAAGAAGGAAGACGGGACAGACTACAGTGGAGGGCAGCTGTTATTTTACCCCACCCCTAGGGCGCAAGATCCAGGTATATCATAATGAAGAGGCCACTGGTGGCACCGAGACCGCCATGGGTCTTCTAGAGACTGGCCAGGCTACACATGAGCAGGCTCTATGTGCGGAAGAGCCCAGGCCACAGGAACTTTCCAGAAGCACCAGAGTGGGCCTTGAGGCTCAGGAGCGAAGGCGCTTCTCAGCCTCCGAACTGATGACGAGGCTTCACTCATCTCTGCGCCTGGGTCGCACGGCCACCAGGGCCCTGACCTCGGGGTCAGGTGCTGGAATCACCCGAGAAGGTAATCAGCTATTTTTCTATTTTTCCGGGCACTGAGGGCAGCCTGAGCCAGGCGTGCAGGGCGCAGCCTACCTACCGGTGTTAACATCGGGTGATCGGCCCCACGCACGTCGTTCTCTAGATCACCCACTCCCGGCTCTTGCTTTCTCTAGGGAAACTGCCTGTGAGGGAATCCCGAAGAGCGGAGATGAGGGTGGACAGTGTGTCGCTGCCAGCACCTGCTGACCCAAATGAGGTCCACGATGGTCTACTGGAGCCCAGGTACCTACCTCTCTCTTGGGGTTCGGGTTGGGGAGGGATGCAAAGAGGTCCTGACACTCTTTCCTAGGCTGGACACGCATGAAAAACCCTCTCAGGATCCCAGCAGCGCCACCGAGCGGCGCCAGTCCCGCTTCCTCCTTAACTGTATGTGCAGAGTTGCTGCGAAGGCGGGGGTGGGCGTGGGGGGCGGAGGGGATGGGACCGGGGCTTTGGAATCTGGGGAGTCTGCTTTTGGGAAATTGAGGTGGGTTGGCATGCAGTTGGTGCCCAGTTAGTGTTTCTAGCTTGGGTAAATGAGATCCTGAGATCCCGTCTCCCGCCCCGCCCAGCTGTCCTCTACCAGGAGTACAGCGACGTGGCCAGCGCGCGCGAGTTGCGGCGGCAGCAGCGCGAGGAGGAGGGCCCTGGGGACGGGGCGGAGGGCGCGGAGGAGGGGCCCGGGCCACCACGCGCCAACCTTTCCCCGAGCAGCTCCTTTCGCGCGCAGCGCTCTGCCCGAGGCTCCACCTTCTCGCTGTGGCAGGACATCCCCGACGTGCGCGGCAGCGGCGTCCTGGCCACGCTGAGCCTGCGCGACTGCAAACTGCAGGAGGTGAGGGGCGGGGCTAGAGGCAGGAGATGGGGACTCACGGGGAATTAGGGACTGTCCAGGTGGAGAAGGGGTGGGAGGACCTGGGAAAAGACTCGAGAGCCCGGCCTGGAAGCCAGGAAAAGGGGTGGGCAGAGTGGAGCCTCGTATGGGGCGAGGCCAGAAGCAGGTGATGGGGACCTTAGGGAGATGAAGGGCTTGTCGACTAGCAGTGGAAAGTGGCGGGGGAGGGCAGCATCTGTGCAGCCAGGAGAAGAGCCCGGAGGGTCTAAGACAGGGAGAAGCCTATGTCAGGAGCGGGACCAGAAGTAGTTGATCAGGAGACTCAGCTGGACCCAGGAACTGTCAAAGCGAAGGGTGGGGGAGAAGAAGTGGGAAGGTAGGGCTCCTAGAAGTCAGCTGGGAAGCTGGAGTGGGATCGGAGGGGCGGAGCCTAGGACGGGGCGGGGTCAAGGTCCGGTGCTGGGGACTTAGTAGGGGGTGAAGCGTGTCAACGCGGAGAGTGGGTGGGAGGACCAGGGAAAGCTTGGGTCCTCGGGTGCCAGGGGGAAGCCAGGACAGAGAGCTAGGTCAAGGACAGGACGGAGCAACACAGGAGCGGGGCCGTTGGAGAGCGCCCTCCCCGGTTGGGGGCGTGGCCAAGGGCAGGTGCTGGGCGTAGCCGAGCGCCACCGGCAGCGCTTGCTCTTGGGAAAGACTTCTAGTAGCGGAGCTTGTCAGCTGGCAGCTTTGGGCGCGCCCAGGCCCCACCTGGCGCCAGATTATCCGTAGGGCTGGGAAGGGGCAGGGCAGTGGTGTCTATTGAGGTCTCATCCTGTTGGGAGAGTTGAGACCCTGATCCTTGGCGGCCTGACTTTGCTCCCGGCCTCCACCCTCCCTTAGGCCAAATTTGAGCTGATCACCTCGGAGGCCTCCTACATCCATAGCCTGTCGGTGGCTGTGGGCCACTTCTTAGGCTCCGCGGAGCTGAGCGAGTGTCTGGGGACTCAGGACAAGCAGTGGCTATTTTCCAAACTGCCCGAGGTCAAGAGCACCAGTGAGAGGTGAGCAAGTGGCCCGGCCTGGCTAAGGGTGGGCACAGATGTCTGTAGTGGCGCTGTCCTTGACCTTGGCTCGCCTGGCAGGTTTCTTCACGACCTGGAACAGCGTCTAGAGGCCGACGTGCTGCGCTTCAGCGTGTGCGATGTCGTTCTGCAGCACTGCCCTGCCTTCCGCCGGGTCTACCTGCCCTACGTCACCAACCAGGCCTATCAGGAGCGCACCTACCAGCGCCTCCTGTAGGAGGGGCTCTGCGGTGGGGAGGGGGGCTTGGGTGGATGTAGGTGCAGAGGATCGGGTGGGACAGGTCCATCTGTGAGGCGTGGGGTGATGTGCAGAGAGCCACCTGTGACAGCACCTTCCTGCCCACTGTCCAGCCTAGAGAACCCCAAGTTTCCCGGCATCCTGGCCCGCCTAGAAGAGTCTCCCGTGTGCCAGCGGCTGCCTCTCACCTCCTTCCTCATCCTACCCTTCCAGAGGGTCACCCGCCTCAAGATGCTGGTAGAGGTAGCTCACTTCAGGAAGGGCGGGGAGGGAAAGGCTGGCCTGCCACCTGTGGTTGTTTTCGTTGTTATATCACGTTTGTCTTCCATTTTATCATATATTAATTATGAATAATAGGGTCCATTGTGACATTTCCATACACACATACCCATCTCCCTCTTCCCTTGTGTCCCCTCCCACTGGTCTTCTTCCTCTTCCCGGGTGACCCCTCCTTCTACTCTCATGTCTGTTTTGTGTGTGACCCAGTGAGTTTCAATAGGGCGTCTTAATGCAAGTGAGAACATGGGTGCCTTACTAGTGACCACCGTACCCAAGAACGTGTCTCTCTCTCTCTCTCTCTCTCTCCTCTCTCTCTCTCGCTCTCGTTCTCTTTCTCTTTCTCTCTTGCTCTCTCTCTCTCTCTCTCCCCTCTCTCTCTCGCTCTCGCTCTCTCTTTCTCTTTCTCTCTTGCTCTCTCTCTCGCTCTCTCTCTTGCTCTCTCTCTCCTCTCTCTCTCTCTCTCGCTCTCTCTCGCTCTCTCTTGCTCTCGCTCTTGCCCACCAGAACATTTTGAAGCGGACAGCACCAGGCTCCCAAGATGAGGACATGGCCACCAAGGCTTTCAGTGCACTCAAGGAGGTGAGCTCAGGGACTGGAGCTGTGGGCTCCTGAGGCCTCCCCTTCTCCTGGTGGGAGCCCAGATAACTCCCCACCCATCCCATCCCCAGCTGGTGCAGGAATGCAATGCCAGCGTGCAGTCCATGAAGAGGACTGAGGAACTCATTCACCTGAGTAAGAAGATCCACTTCGAGGGCAAGGTAGGGGAAAGCCCTTGCTGGGCTGGAGAGATGGCTCAGGGCTTAGAGCACTGGCTACTCTTCCAGAGGTCCTGAGTTCAATTCCCAGCACCCACATGGTGGCTCATAACCATCTATAACAGGATCTGATGCCCTCTTCTAACATGCTGGTATACATGCAGAGCCTCCATTCATAGAATATAAATACATTATAAAAAAATTTAAAAGAGGAAAGCTCTTGCTTCCTCCTTCCTCTGGGGACAGGGGGCCGGTAGTCACTGCCCATGATCTCCCTGGTCTGGACTCACCGCTGCTTCACCTGCCCTCCCTAATTGTCTATCTTTCTCCAGATCTTTCCACTGATCTCACAGGCCCGCTGGCTGGTGAGGCACGGGGAGCTGGTGGAATTGGCCCCCCTGCCGGCCGCACCGCCTGCCAAGCTGAAGCTGTCCAGCAAAGCCGTGTACCTTCACCTCTTCAATGACTGCCTGCTACTGTCCCGGAGGAAAGAGTGGGTGCTGGGAATATTTTTTAAATTAATATTTGTTATATGCGCACGGGTGTTTTGCCCACATGTATGTCTGTCTGTGCACTACCATGTGCGTTCAATCCCCAAAGCAGGGTATCAGATCCCCTGGAACTGGAGCTAGGGACAGTGGTGAGCTGCCTTGTGGGTGCTGGCTTCTGAACTCATCCCCTCGGAGGAGCAACAGGTGCTCTTAACCCCTGAGCCATCTCTCCAGCCCTTAGGATGGGCTTTGAAGAGTAAGAGTTTTGCGTTGAGAAGTGGTTTGGAAAAGACAGAAAAACTGTGTCGGAACAGAATGTGACTGGGGCATGGAGAAGCCAGGCAGTGGACCAGAGGAGAAAGAGCAGAAAGCCAGGATGGTGGCGCATGCCTTTAGTCCTGGCACTCAGGAGGCAGAGACAGAGATGGAGGGCAGCCATCCAAGTTCCAGGCCACAAGGGCTCTATAGTGAGGGCCTGTCTCCGAATAAATACACGAACAAATCAAAGAGAGGGGCGAGAAAAGGGAGCGGAGATTTTGAAGTCGCCGTGGAGGCTGGGCTCGTTCTGAGGGCAGGAGTGGGGTGTGCAGAGGAGCCGCATTCTGCTTCTGGCGGATTTGAAGGGTGGAGGGGTGGGAGGGACCAGAAACTCTTTTCCAGGCGAGCACAGATGGCCTAGAGGTGGCAGGTGCTTCAGGATGGGCAGATGCAGGAACGGGATGGCAGAGGAGGGGCCTGCTCCCTCTAGTGCATGTATGCGGGGAGGTGGACATGATGGTGGGGACTCGTGCACAGCGCAGCGTTGCTGGAGGGGAGCTGGGCCCTGTTTCTCTGCTAGGGTAACAAGCCCAGGATGCTGCCCTGCCTCCCAGCCTCTTTCCCTGCAAGGCCAGCAGCACCTGGTTCTGACTTCAGAACGGAGAAGCAGCTTCTGCTGGCTTGGTGCAAGTCACATGGGAGTCCATTTGGAGGCAGGGAAGGGTGCAAAAACAAGTATACCTGGGCTGGGGGCCTGGCTTCTGTTATCTTCTGCCAGCAGAAACCCAGGCAGTTGCACTCACAGCAATCCTCCTGTCTTAGCACCCTGAGCTCTGTTTAGATACCCTGATGAGAGGGCACCCAGTGAAGCCAGGCCTGGAGAAGCAAATGATCTTTCCTCCTCTTCCCTTCAGCTCACCTGGTCCTGGCGTGGCTCGGAGGGTAGGACCCAGGCTCTGTTGACCCTCCCTGCCCTGTTGTCTGTCCTCCAGGCTCGGGAAGTTTGCTGTTTTCGTCCATGCCAATATGGCTGAGCTGCAGGTTCGAGACCTGAGCCTGAAGCTACAGGGCATCCCAGGTCATGTGTTCCTGCTCCGGCTGCTGCATGGGCAGCGTGCCAGGCACCAGCTGCTGCTGAGAGCGCGTACTGAGTAAGCACTCCAAACCCCAAGCAAGGGTTGTGCTGAACCCCTGGGGCAGAGAGCGAGTCTGGATGGTGGGAGCAGTCCCTAAATTATGGCAGGTGGCATCGGGCACTGTGCCCCTCTATCAGGGAGGTAGCATGAGGCTGGAGTGCCCAGAGCTGGCATGAGGAAGAAGTGGGGTAGGAACATAGGCCTGGAGACTTGCGTGTAGCCCAGGATATCTGGACCTAACCCTAGCTCTGCCAGCTCAGGTTCCCAACCCCGCTCTGAGTCACTGTACTTTGCCTGTTATGACCACACCTCCCCCTCTGTAGAAGTGAGAAGCAACGATGGATCTCAGCCTTGCGCCCATCCAGCCCCCAGGAGGACAAGGAGGTCACCTGTGATGGAGAAGGTAGGACCCAGAACTCTCTGGGGTGGCTCTGAAGGCCACTGGGGGCTGGGTAGGATACACCCCATATGAACAGATAACCCATTTTGCAGACTATGAAAGAGAGATTCAGAGAGGCCGAGGGCCTCTTCTGGGTCCTCCCAGCTAGACAGAGCTGGATCTGGAGCCCACTGCTGTCTGTCTGTCTGTCTGCATTGGTTGTGAAGCAGATAGGCCTGGTGTGTACAGGGTGTGGGATGCAGGGTGAAAATGACGGCGTTAACAGGGTGAAGGATGCTCAGCTCCCTTGGATGTGATGTAAGGCTGGCAAGGCAGACTCCATCTATTGGGAAAGGATCTTGGTGGTGGGTAGGAGGTAGCCATAGACAGTGTTTGAACAGAGGCACGGTGTTGGATTATAGGTCTATGGAGCTGGAGTGGGGGCCGGGGAGAGACCTACTCCCAACAAGTACTTGCTGTGGGTGAGGCCAGGGACTGGACTCTGTAATTTCACTCATTTTATTTAATCCCAGTAGTGCTCCTGTTAGCTAGATTCACCGTCTTCAGTTTTTTTTACACCTCTGAAAACTGAGGTTCAGAAAAGTTAAATAATTTACCCAAGGTCACATAGTCAGCAGCTGAGCTGGGAATGGGGCCAAGTCTGGTCCCCCTCCCTCCCTCCCTCCCTCCCTCCCTCCCTCCCTTCCTTCTTTCTTCCCTTTTTGAGACGGAGTCTTGCTGTGTAGCCCAGTCTGGCCTTGAATTCAGAGCTAACGTCCTACCTCAGTTTCCCCTTGTACTGGTATTACAAGGATGAGCTGCCGCACCCAGCTCAAAATTGTTTGCGATGCTCAAGCCCATCTACTCTTCACAAAAAATAAAGCAGGGCAGATTCTCTGACTTGGGCTCAGAGTCCCACTAAGGCTGAGGACAAGCCCCCTACTCCAAACAGAGGCCACTGGGAAATGGCCCTGGGGGGTGGAGAAAGGACCTCTGGGCAGTTGCTCAGAGACCACAGGAGCCCCATGTGGCTGGAGCTGCATGAACCTGAGTAGAAAGAGGGTGGGAAGAAGAGCTGAGCCCAAGTGGGCAGTGTCCGCGCGTGAAGTCTGTGGGTCCTGAATAGGTCTTTAGATTTGAACTTTAGACACCCAGAGGACTGTCGAGGGGTACGTGGTGGGCATCTGGGGTTTGTATGGGAGTCTAGAGATCAACACAAGATGTTGCAGCAAGCTGGGGAGGTCAGCATCCATGGCCGGGAGCCTCAGGTTGGGGAAACTCATGCCTAGGATGGGCAGAGGAGCAACTGTGGCTCCCTCCCCTGACCTGGGGTCTCCTGGACCCCCCTCTTGGCTCTCAGACCGCCCCCAGGTCCAGTGTGTGAGGACCTATAAGGCCCTGCAGCCGGATGAATTGACTTTGGAGAAGACAGACATCCTGGCAGTGAAGACCCGGACCAGTGATGGTGAGAGCCAGGCCTTCCCAACAGCCCTTTGGAGGGGCAGAAGGAGGGGCAAGTGACCAACCTATCACAGGGAGAGGATGTGCAAATGGTGATCAGCCACAGTATTTGGGAATCCAGTTAGACCAAAGAAGGAACTTCCTGCTGGAGAATGGAGAATGACGGGGGAGAGTGGGAAATAGCCTCCTCAGAGAGGTGGAGTCCTTCCAGGGGCTGGTGACGCTAGGGTAACATCACCTGGCCCCCAGACTGGCGTCAGGCCCAGTTATTCCTTCCCAGGCCTGCCCAGCAGCCCTTCCGTGTCCCTGACACTGACTGCTGTGTCCCTAGGCTGGCTGGAGGGTGTGCGCCTGGCAGATGGTGAAAAGGGGTGGGTGCCGCAGGCCCATGTGGAGGAGATCAGCAGCCTCAGCGCTCGACTTCGCAACCTCCGAGAGAACAAGCGGGTGACCAGTGCCAGCAGCAAGCGGGAGGACCCTCCTGCCTGACGCTCCCCTGGGGCCCTACTGGGTCCCTTTCCCTGCTGTGGGCTTCTGTGTGTCTGGAGGCTTCTCTATAGGCACTGGGTGATAACAGTTCTGTAAATAAGCCCTGGCTGCCTCTGCTTGATGTCTGACCCCAGGGCCTTTGCACTGACTTCTCTGCCTGGGGAGCTCTGTCCCATCAGGAGGGTGTTGCCTGATCTCGCTGTCACCTGTCTCCAGGTGCCCCGAGGGCAGAGGAGCCTGTGTCTACCTGCTACTTTCCCCTCCGAGTAGCAAAGTGTCAAATCCAAGCAGGCTTGAATATTAAAATGACTCCATGAGTTTTTGTACTTGCCTCTTGCCGCTTGTGCTAAGAAAGCACCACCAGCTGGGCGGGCCTTGACCACTGCAGCTCCGAGGCCGGGGTTTAAAGTCCACCTGGGGTCCCAGGAGAGAGTTGTTCTTTGCCTCTGTGTGCTTGGTGGTTGCAGTGAACTGCACCCGCAGCCGGACCCCAGGCCCACTCCATGTTCTCTGCCTCCTGCTGTGAGCCTATGGCTACATTGGAGTCCACCTGGACCATCTTGCCATCGCAGTCTTGGCAAAACCATCTGACCCCACACTTCTCCCATGTTCTTCTGTTTAAAAACATTTTTTAAAGATTTATTTTATTTATCTATTTGGGGTTTTGTTTGTTTGTTTAGTTTTGATACAGGGTTTCTCTGTGTGACAGCCAGCCCTGGTTTTCTTGGAACTTGCTTTGTAGACCAGGCTGGCCTCAAACTCGGAGATCCACCTGCCTCTGCCTCCCAACTGCTGAGATTAAAGGCGTGTGATTTATTTTATTTTATGTGTATAGATGTTTTACCTGCATATAGGTATGTACACCATGTGCATGCAGTCCCTGGGAAGGCCAGAAGAGGGCAACAGATTCCTTGAAACTGTAGTTATGAATGGTTGTGAGACACCATGTGAGGGCTGGAGACCAAACCCAGGTCCTAGCCAGTGCACTTAACCCCTGAGCCACCTCTCCAGCCCCCAACATAGACTTTAAAGTATGAAACATTTGCCAGGTGGTAGTTGCACATACCTTTGATCCCAGCACTCGGGAGGCAGAGGCAGGGGGGTCTCTGAATTTGAGGCCAGCCTGGTCTACAAAGCTAATTCCAGGATAGCCAGGGTTACACAGAGAAACTGTCTCAAAAGAAAAAAAATCAAAACACAAAAACAAAAAGATGTGACATTCATAAGTCCTGGGAATAAGGACATAAACATATATTGTAGATATTTTTCAGTCCATCACAGATCTCAACAAAAGGGAGAGAGGAAACTGAGCCTGAGTCAAGGCTGGATCAAGTGGCTTGTTGCTGTCACTGAAGACCCAGCTATTCCTGTCCCTCCACTCTGCTCTTCCAATGCAGCTTCCTCCACAGGCTTCTACAGACCCTGCATGGAAGAAAACTGTCAGAATTTCCAGGTGGAGTCCTAGAATTCTCTGTGATTGGACTAGCTTGGATCCCATGGTTTCTTCTGGTCTCATCTAGGCCTACTGTGTGATGTTAGGCCCTACTAAGTGTGGTAGCTTTCTGTCATTGCAACCAAGTGCCTGAAACAGTCAGCTTAAGAAGAAAAGTTTCTTTTAAATCCCCAGAGTTTTCAGTCCAGAGTCAGCTGGCCCTGGTGCTTTGGGCCTGTGGGGAGCCCAGTAGTTCATGGTGGGCATACTTGGCAGACAGGGAGATGTGGGGGTCTCTGTATCCCTCCAAGGCCATGCTCCCAATGACCCAATACCTCCCAGGTAGACTTGCCATTGTCCGCCACCTCTAACACTGCCTCAGGATGCTACACTTCAGTACCTTGGCTTCTGGGTACACTCAGATGCCAACGGTAACCCTAGGCAACCCTAGACTGTGTGCACAGGCTTGAGAGGCAAGCCGCGCAGGGTCTACCCTGGAGTCCCGTGGGTCTCTGAGTGAAAACCACTGCTGGGGCACCCCTGCTGATCCAGAGGGTGAAACAGCTGGGAATAATGGCTGTGAGCAGTTGGGGTTTGGGGCCTTCTTCAGGTCTTAGAAAATGAGGGCGAGACCAGCCTGGTCTACAAGAGCTAGTTCCAAGACAGGCTCCAAAACCACAGAGAAACCCTGTCTCGAAAAACCAAAAAAAAAAAAGAAAAGAAAAGAAAATGAGGGGACCCAGGCATGGTGGTGCATACCTGGAACCCCAGCACTAGAGAGACAGAGGCAGGTGGATTTCTGTGAGTTCCAGAACAGCCAGAGCTACGTAGTGAAACTCTGTTCTGTAGTGAGGTTTTGTTTGTGCTCTAGCAAATAAAGCTTGCCTGAAGATCAGAGGACAGAGCTAACCACTAGCTAATCATAGAGGTCTGGAGGTCTGTACAGACAGACAGGAAGTGATATGGCTGGGCAGGGAGAGGAATATAAGGCGGGAGGAGTTAGCAAGGTCAGAGTTGGCTGTGGCTTGCTCCTTTGTCTCTGATCTTTCAGCATTTACCCCGATATCTGGATCCAGGTTTTTATTATTAAGACCAATTAGAACTGTTCCCCAAAAGGGGGGGGGAGGGACAGAAGGCATTAGTAGCCCTAGCCATGGGTGGGCCAGGAAGGAATGCTGAGTAGGGCTTTAGGACAATGTAGGATAGGTCTTTCTCTTTCTCCTGCTTGTCCTGATTGGCTCTACCTCTGACCCTGCATCCCAGTCGCTCTTTGGTTTTCTTGGTGTTTTTAGGTAGGGCCATGTAGTCCAGGCTAGCTCAAACTCCCAGTGTAACCTAGGATGACCCTGCACAGGAGTCCTTCCTTTTGCCTGCACCTCCCGGCGCTGGGAACTGACTCAGGTTCCTGTGGTGCTGAGGAGGGGACCCGGCTTTGTGTAGGAGGCAAGCCTCCTAACTGAGAAGCATCCTTGGCCGCAGAACTGGCTTCTGTGTTTATGGTTTCGGACCCTCCCTAAAACCCAGGTGGGCCTCCTTCCTTTCCACTCTCCCCACATGACTGCGAGTTGCCCGGGTTTCACGCTGGCTACTCTGCCATCTCCTGTCCACCCTCTCACTTCCCTGTCTGCCGGACTCAGCTTCTCAGTTTTCCCTTGTTTTTCCTGACCTGGGCAATTTTGAGGCATTCTGGTTGGTATTTTTTAGACGATCCTGCAATTTGGGTGTATCTGATGTTTTTCTCATGACGAAGCAGGAGTTACTGCGGCTTTGGGCAAAAACCCCACAGAGGTAAACAGAGTCCTCTGCTCATGAGGTCAGGAGGCACGTGATGGCCGCGTGGCTCACCACCAGGGTTGATTTTTTTTTCCTTTCCTCCCCACCCCCTCTCTTTTAGCATGGTAGCCCAGGCTAGCTTCAAACTCAAGGTGATCCTCAGACATCTTCTTCCCTTCCCAAGTGCTGTCATGACAGGGATGAACCTCCAAGCCTAGATGATGTTGATTTAAAAAGAAAAGCTTAAGAGAGGGTCTCAGTGTGGCCTGATCCTCCGGCCTCCCCCTCTGAGTGCTCAGATAACAGACACAGGCCGTGACACCCCACGTTCAAAAACCATTTTGAGGGGAGATGCTAGAGATGTTTGGCTCACCTTCCTCTCTCCCTCCTTCCCTCTCCCTCCCTCCCTCTCTTCTTCCTTGCTAGGTTGGGGATGGAACCCAGAGCCCCACACAAGCCTGGCAAACCTGTAGCACTGGCCTAGACCCAAAGCCCTGCTGGAACAGGCGTCTCCAGTGTCCTTTGTGTTCTTCCACAAGGCAGGTCCACCCCTTCACCTCTTTCATCCTGTCTGCCTGGCCTGTCTGTCACCAGGACTCCTTAGTCTTTGGATTGTGCTCCATTGTCATAGTGTTGACTTTTATTTGAGCTGTTCTAGCTGACTGGGTGTGGCAGTGCACACCTACAACCCCAGCATTCCCTTGGAAGGGTGAGGGGCTCAGTCAGGATGGCAGCAAGGAGGCCAGTCTGAGCTACATAGACAGGCCAGGCTGTAGAAGAGACAACCCTGAGCTCTCTGGGGTTCATCCTGGCCTATGTGTGTAGCATCCCCTTCAGAGCTCGCACTCCAGGGTGCTGCAGACTCGAGTTCTGCCCAGGAAGAGTGCGGCTCTTTCCACATTTTGGACAGTAAAGTTATCTATTCCTGCTGAGACACTACGGCCTCTGGTCCTCAGGCAGAGGGGAAATTCATCTATACGTTACACGTATTTATTCTATATTTTTTACTTATGGGGAGGGGCTGTGTGTGCCACAGTGCTTGTGTGGGGATCAGAGGGCAGCAGAGAGAAACAGAGCAGTTTCTCTTCCACCTGTGGGTTTCTGTGGACTGAACTCAGGCCATCAAGCTTGGTGGCAAGCACCTTTGCCACCTTGCTGAGCCAACTTGCTGGCCCAAATTCATATATTTTATATCCACATACCATGAATCTAAGAAGACATCAAGCCCCTTTAAGGCTTTCTGCTTCAGGGATGACAATGGCAGAGCCCAGAGGGATAAAGAGACAAGCCATGCTCTGGAAGACAACACAGACAAAGGTGCCTTTGTGGGCAGAGCTTCTGGCTTTCCTCCCTCCAGCCCCGAGGACTCCAGACACTCAGGCCAAGAGTGGGAGTCCCGAGTGGAGTGTGGACCAGGCCTCTGAGATCCTCCAGTGCTGAGTCTCACTGCACAGGGGCAACCGAGGCTGGCACCTCTCATGGAGTAGGGCAGAAGGAGCTGCATGAATAATTCCTGCACTCAGGAGTGAGCACAGGCAGGTGAGCCCTGAGTTCTTGGCCAGTCTGGTCTACATAGTGAGTACCATGTCAGCCAAAACCATGCAGTGAGATCCTGTAAGGACCTGACTTTGCAAACTCCATTTTATAAAGTTTTTAATATTATATTATTATGTATACAATATCCTTTCTGCGTGTATGTCTGAAGGCCAGAAGAGGGCACCAGACCTCATTACAGATGGGGTTGTGAGCCACCATGTGGTTGCTGGGAATCGAACTCAGGACCTTTGGCTCGTCTCTCCAGCCCACAAACTCCATTTTAAAGAAGGGGCTTCCTCTTAGGCCATATAATGAGCTGGGGGGGGGGTGATCTCAGCTTCAGAAATGCGCTGCCACAGCAGAAATCTGAACAGATGCCCTAAAAATGCCCAATTAAGAAGATAGGGAGCAGGGCCATAAAGTTTAACGAGGTCCAGATGTTCTTGGGAGACATCCTGTCCTTGAACATACCTTGTCAGTAATTTATGGCTCTTTGTTAGTTAGTTTTTTGTGCCCAAAAACTGACCAATGGTTTCAGAAACTACCTTATCCTATGTCCTTCTTACCCAATCCCAAAATGGCAGGACATAAACTTTCCTGGTTACGGTGTTTCCCTTTTAAAAGTTCTCCGCTCCCAGGGCCCACGTCACACTTCCTGCACCCACCATGCTGGGGTGCTGGAAAGGTGCAGGTCCAAACTTAAGCTTGAATATTATTAAAAACCCTCATGTAATTTGCATTGGAAATCTGGCTTCGTGAATTCATTTGGGGACCATCTTGGGCATAACCATCCTGTGTTCAAAAAACAAAGGAGAAAGCCGGGCGGTGGTGGCGCACACCTTTAATCCCAGCACTCGGGAGGCAGAGGCA